TGTGAAACACTCTGCAGATGGTCTCCTTAGCCAACTCTATTCCCTCCCCCAGGGTACCCTGCAACACTGTCTTCCTTACTTAGGGGGAGGCCCATAGGTATGGGGAAATTGCAGTTGTGTGTGAAAGTCTGTGTCCCACAGCACAATCTCCCCGCCTGGTGTTTTCCTCTTATCATGGATAAGCCCTGGACTCCACCACTAGGTGGATCTACTCCCTACTTTAGCTTTCTAGTAAAGGAGCCTGTCTGTGAGGTTCAAACCCTAATGGACAGGCCTCCCAGAGGGGAGAGACGTGAAGCTAGCTAAGGGGAGAGCTGAATCTGTGTGAGGGCTTTCAGCTTCTCTGCTGCCTTCAATGACCACTGTCTTCCCCAATTACACATGACCTTCTAGTCTTTTATCATAGTTGGAATAAAACTCTTTACCACAGGAGCCAAGCATGGCTTTCTCCTCTGAGAGGACTAAAATGGCCTATTGTTCAGCTAAGTCCTGTATCCCAGTGACCTAGGTAACTTCAGTCTCTTAGTAAAACTACATACAATGCTAAGACTTTGTAGGCTCTACTATTCACTGACAGGAAGTCAAAGGAAAGTTTATAACTAAAGGTTAGTAACTTCAAGTTTGTGAGGTGGAATAAAAGAAAGATTTTCCAAAGAATTTCCAACTCTTATTCTGGAAAAAAGAAATTCTCTAACCAGTTTTCAAATTGCAAGTTGAGGTTAAAATAGAAAAGTGGTATTAGAACAACCTCAGAAATTCTAAATTACATTGGACTGTGAATTCCTTCCTTTGTCAAAGCCAAATCACTATGTGGATAATAATGTTACTAGTGTTTTGCCTCATTCAGTTTCCACTGACAAATGAGAAGGAGATTCTTGAGAACTTGCCTGCATTCTTTGTAGTCCCTTAAATGTGGTGTTAGCATCAGCTATACCCATCAAAATGGGGAAAGGGGTGGAATGCTCTGCTGCCATCCTTCATAAAGCTAGGAAACTTGCTTCAGCATCTGTTTGCTCAGTCAGGTAATATAAATAATGCCCCAGATTATGTTTAATCATCACCAGATGCTCTGGATCGCTGCCTCAGCAGTGATGAAGGAGTGTTGCAGGTCAATGGCAAGTGCAGATCTCTGCAGCAAAGAGAATGCCTTGGCCACCCTACAGGGACACATATTAATTAAAGTTGTATTTTGGAGAGTCTGAGCCGTGCATAAGTGAATGCTGAAATCCCATCTCCTGAACTCCAGACTCTTATATGCAAATGTCTACTCAACAGATCCACTTGAATGTATAAAAATCAACACGTTCAAAACTGAACTCTTTTCTTCAGGCCTGCTCCTCCCCGTCTTTCTCATTTCAGCATTAATTCCATCCTTCTAATTATGTAAGCCTAAAAAGTTTAGAGTCATCATAGACTTTTCTAAATTCCTACATCCAATGCCAGCAAATTGTTTACTCTAGCTTCAAAACATAGCAGATCCTAACCATGTCTCACTACCTTCACTGTTACCAACGCCACCATCACCTAGTACCTGAATTGTTCCAACAGCCTAACTAGTCAACCTCTCTTTTTCAATCCATTCTCATTCCAGCACAATTTTCCTAGTGGCTGTCACAGTTCTGATTTGTTATGGTTCTGGCAGAGGCCACACTCCTCTATGGCTACGAATACTGGTTAAACCCTCTTCTCTGACTGGGCATTTCCTTCCCTGGCCCCTTCTGGGCCGAGATTTCTGGCTATTGCTGATCACCAAATGTTGCACCATCCCTGTGAGTTCTCTTAATCCTTCTTTAAACAGTTCTCTAAATCATCCTCAGTTAAAACCATTTTAGGTGTTTCACCTTTCTTGCCAGGTCTCTTAGAAATGCAGCCATTAACTGTATGAATTGCTTTTTTTTTTTTTTTTAATATGAAATTGACCCTGCACTTTGGGGATGCACTCAATTTGGTTGTCATGCATATTGTTGTAGGTCATTGGACTCAGTCTGCTAATTTCTTGTCCGGTCTTTGTATTTGGTTCCTGAGAATGGCTCGTTATTTTCCTGTCTCATTCTGTCCTTTACAGATTTTCGTATCAAGATGATGCCACCCTCATGCCAAGACTTAAGAGTGTTCCTTCAGTTTCTACATTCTGAAAAATTTACGTAAGATTAAAATTATGCATCCCTTAAATCTTATTATGTTTGGTAAAATCATCTGGCTTATTATTTCTTCTTGAACCACTTTTGCAGGTTAAATTTCTTCAAAATTTATCCATTTTGTTAGTTTCAAATTTACTGGAAGATGTAATATCCCTTTTAAACATCCTCATTATACACGGTTCTGACCCTTTTACATCACAATATTATTTATAAATTGTTTATTTTTTTTATTAGGCTTCCTAGATTTGTCTCTTGGTATTTTCAAAACCAACATTTGGCTCAGTTACTCCTCACATTACCCTTTTATTTTCTATTTCATTAATTTCTAGTATCTTCTTGACTTTAAACCTTCTATTCTCTTTTTGTTTATTCACTTGTTCTTTTTATACCACATTACATTGGATGCTTATTTTTTATATTTATTGATTTCAGAGAGTGGGAGAGGGAGGGAGAGAAACATCAGTGATGAGAGTCATTGACCTGCTGCCTCCTGCGCGCCCCCTGCTGGGGATCGAGCCGAAACCCAGGTATGTGCTCTGACTGGGAATGGGACCGCCCTCTCCTGGATCCTAGGTGGATGCTCAACTGCTGAGCCACACTGGCCCGGCGGATGCTTAGATTCTTATGTTTTAACTTTGTTGTCCAATATAAGGCTCAGTCCTTTTTAGACCTCTAATAAAATATTGTTACAACTTTCTACACAGTCCAAAAATTAGTGGAACAGAACACATGCTTTTCAAGGCTTAAGGTAAGGATCCCAACAAGATGTCTGTGCCAAGGCTATAAATGAGATTTTAAGACTGATTCTAAGAAATATATTAAGAACTGCTGGTCACTATTTCACTACCCAAGTGGAATGTAAACTCTAGGAGGCAGGGATTTTTGTTTCTTACTGATATAACCTCAGTGCCAGAACAGTACCTGGAACATGGTAGGCATTTAATACATAACTTTTTTGAGTCCATTAAATGAATCCCACAGTTAAACATGTATTAAGTTTTCTTTTACAAATCTAAGTGAGTTAATGTTTTTTAGATAGCAGTATTAGAAAATTTCACACTTGAAATGTTAATCATAATATTTAAAAACTTTTCAAACCAGGCAATTATTCTCATTCAGAATGTTCTTCCTCAATTTTAGCTCAGCATCTCCATTCCCTTCTATATCATGTTAAATTTTAAGTGTTCATAGTAATACCACAAGGTGGCATACAAAACCTCATAAAAACATTTCTGGATTTTTTGAGTCAAAATTTTACTATACACTCATCCTATTAAAAAACCTCTTTAAATCCAGGCAAGAGGAACCCCACTCTGGACACTGTGCTTGAGGGCTAGGCTCTGCCCTATGTAGTCTATGTCCTTCCCTGTAAGATGAGACCACAGGGCCTAGAGACATGACCCTCCTCCCCTGGAGAGCTTTCCTGGTCTGTTCCAGGAGGGTAGACAGACAGCTGGAGAGTACATTCCAAGGCTTGGGCTGATCAAGGGACATTTAGAAGCTGGGGTGGGTTTTCCGTGGGAAAGGATGGAGTTGGGACAAAAAGGGCTCTCTGAGACCAGCACTCTCTGCTTTGCCACTCATTAGTGCAGGGCTTGAGGAGGCCAAGAATTCTGAGAACACTGAAAGGCATACTTGCCAAGGTAGGAGCAGTCTATTAGCTGGATTTATAACTTCTAAATATTTAGATATATAGTATGTGGACCTGTATTTTCACTCTTGACAGGGCCCTGCAAACTTAGAGATAAGACTATGTGTGCGTATATAATTTGTGTGCAGTTGCTTACTTAAAATCTGTATTTAGGATTTCTACATTAGAATACTGGGATTTCAATAAAATTTTATTTGAACAGCTTATATTGATTATTTATCAGGAAAATAACTTTCATCATATATGGCCTCTAACAGAATTTGCAAACAAAAGTGTACAATTCAATGAATTTTAGTATTTTCAGAGTTATGCAGCCATCACCACTAACTTTAGAACACTGTCATCACCACAAAAAGAAACCCACACCCATTAGCAGTGTGTGTAGGTTTGACCACTGTAATGTGAGTAGGAAGGATATGCATAACTTCACAACAAACCTTTGCAGAGCTAGTGATTGTGTTGTACATGGCTTAAATGGTCTATATTCCTTATCAGACTGCAAGTCTCTTAAGATGATGAGACACAGGCCTGCCTCATCTTTTAATTTTTCCACAGTATTCTTCAAGGTGCTTTATAACAAATATTTGTTAAATAAATTTATAAACATCATAAAAATTATAGTTTAAAATCTTTGATATCGGTTATTTTATCATTATTTACTTCTTTAAGATTGTAGAAAAAATCTTATTAATGAATAATTTTGGCTTTAAAATATATTATGAAAATGCACAAATGTTTTCAAACCAATATATAGTTTCAGATCCTAATCCTGAGTCTAACAAGGTGAAATTACCAATATCCTTCCCGTAAGAACCCATTAAATAACTAAGTATTTACCTACAACAGTTTTTAGAAGTTCCAGTGATACAGAAAGAAATTTCACTTAATTCATTGTTATGATTGAATAAATATTTATTAATCCCATTCAAGGTAGTTCAAACTTATTTTTTAAAGAAATATTTAAAAAATAAAAACTGAAAACATGGTACTGTACCAAAGAGTTGAGTTTTGTGCTGAAATTTACTTTACTTCCTAAAAACAAGCATTCTTTGCCTGTTCCCTTTTTAGAAGAAAAAGTGAATTCTATCTATTATATGCTTCCTTTGCCTTTATATATATGCACTGACATTCAAACAGTACAACTTTAAATCAATAAATAGTTATAAAAAAACCTTCAGAATTTAGTCATTAAGAGTGTGTCCAGACACTTCTATACAAACTTTTTCGATGGAAAAAATACCGTTTCAAGGAGCTACATATATTCTAAACAAGCACTGTAAATGAATTTTAGTATTTACTAACTTAAGTACTCAAGGACTTGGTTTGAGGAGTCCAACAGACTGAAGGTCTGCTTTTCAAGATTACTATTATCTTCTATCAATGGAGAGATTTTGGCATTTCTATATTCTAATAGTTCACCATCCTTGCTTGATGTCAGTAATTCATTATCGACTACACCAATAGTTGCATCTTCTACCAGAATACTTGCTTGGTATGCTCCAACTGGAATTTCAGGCAATCCAATGTAGTCATGATCTGCCACTACTGAACCTTGTAAGAGATAAAGACTGTCTGAAAGAAGAAACATCGTAAGTTTGCCTTTTAGAATTATAATTAAATATTTTCAAATTAAACAATGTTAAATGAGGAACAAAAATTCAAGTAGTAAGAATTAACTAGCAAGATTAACTTCTGGTGCGTTCTCCTACCTACTAAATAAATAAACATTTCAAAGAATGAATAAAATGATACATAAACCTGAGAGTTTACATATACAGAATTCAAGAATAATGAAGGATTTTAAGAGAGGCAAGTTTTCCTGTTCCCTTGACTTGTCTTTGGTAGATGTGGACAAGAGGGTGGAAGGGGCTAGGGATCAAGGTAAAGATTAAAGCCAAAGTTATAAAACCATATTTTTTATGTTCATGATATCATTAATATGTTTCTGCAAAATATTTTTTGGGTGAATTAATGGGGTATTGAAAGATATTTTAAAAAGTAAAATTGTTAAATCCTTCTATTTACAACTTTGGATAATTCCCCAATCTTTATCGAACCCATATTACGACAATATTATAAAATTTTTACAATATGAAGTTATAAGTGAAAATAAAGTTCCTAGAATCAGGCTTAAGTGATAGGACTATGTACAGAAACAGGTTGCAATGCAGTAGTATTAAAAGCTTAGCTTAAGTCTAATTTAATACCAAAATGCTCATGAACTTTTAAGGTTTTACTAAATCCATACTGAAATACTGACAAGGAATTTTCCTTGTTAGCATTTTATTCTATTTTGAGCAAATCTGTCATCTCTTCTTAAAAAAATACTTAAAATGAATGTTAAACTGATGGCAAAGCAGCAGCATCCTTATAAATAAAGGATAGTATATATAAAAGGATTCCTCTCTACCTGACATTTTAATCAATTACAACAAGGAACTCTTCCTCCATGGCTGATTAACTTCCTGGACCCCTGCCTTCTCTTTCTGTATTTTCTCCCAAAACATTAACAGATTGTCTTGAAGATTTCAATAGCTTAAAGAGTCCTCAAATTTTAAGTATAAGAAATAGCAAAGAAAGATTATTTGCCCATTTAGATTAGAGATCAATCAAAGTTTCTCAGAGCAGATAAAGTTGCTAATATAGCCTGGAACACAATCCCACTCTACCCATCCTTATATTGATGTATGAAAAGCTCCCTGAGCCTATTCCAACTCCAGAAGTATACACATTAAGAACTTTCAATTTACAAACTTCAATAGATCAAACAAATCTATGCTTTCTGCCAACAGATGGCATAAGTGGTCCTGGGTTTGTATGGACATTTAGGTTTGCTCATTTAGTTCTTCGTTAGTCAAAGTGTACTTGGTATTTTGATTTTGCGAGGTCTTCCAAGTTTAACCCCACCAATTCTTATTAATACAAATGTAGTCATTAGATTCAAGATCCTGTTAAAAAGATATACATATTTATGATGCTAAGTATGGATAATTGAAGGTGGTAAGAAATGACTTTTGTATGTTAGTATGGGATGAATTGCTGGAAAAGAGAAACAATTCTGAAAGATAAAAATTAAGTCATGCAACCCATGTGAAGTATTTTGTCCAACAGCAGCAAGAAAGGGGGAAAAAATGATGAATGAAATTGAAACATTTTTAGATTCTGTTACTAGAGGTTCAACATCAAAGTTCCCTATTAGCTTAATACTGGAGAAGGCTGGGTAGTAGTGGTTTATAAGAGAACTTAAAAAGATTAGGTATGGTAAAAGTGTTGCTGATGAAATTGTTCTAATGAGCCACAAAGAATTCCATAGGTTCAAGGCCTGTACTATGTTGCAAAGTATCAGTGACAGCAGATACCACAGCATTTAAGGTATTTCCAAAGACCTTTGCAGACATTTCTAATGAAGTTTTCTGACCCCAAAACTTTTTTGCACACAGATAAATCATGTCTATTTAAAAAAATATTTTCCAGTAAACATGTATCAAACAGGGAAAAGTATGCATAGATATAAAGCTCATCAAAGTTACCACTTGGATTTTCTAGAAATGCATTCTTAGACCTTGAGCTTAAGTACTCCCCTTCCTAGTTATACTAGACTAGGACAAATGGACTAGTCTAGTATAACTAGGACTTTACCAAACTCATTTGTCAGAAGAGAGGTTGTGTATATAAGTGATACACACACACACATACTTTTTCTTTTAAGTGATAAACTTTAAAGTACCTTATTGTTGTAAGGATTATACTCAGCAAATTCTACACAATCACTTTATATGCAATAGAAAACTACTCTAGAGATTTCAAGCCTTGTTTGTGTAAAAAGAAAACACCACAATATTCTCATTCATTCAGAAAGGTCAAATACGTTTCAACTCCTACTAAATCTACTGGAGCCAATAGAAATGCTCTTTAACTTCAAAAAGAGATTACAAAAAATTACAAGAAAAGTGAATCTTGAGACCTTATGTACATGTTGAAATAATATTTTAGATACACTGGGTCATATAAAATATATTGTTAAAATTATTTTCACCAATTTGTACTTTTTAATGTGACTACTAGAAAATTTAAAATTACATATTGCATAATTTTTGCATTCCATATCTATTGGACAATACTGATCTAGAATTCTGAGTGAGGGATACAGAAAAGAATAAGATAAGTTTCTGTCCTCATTATAGACATAAACATTTTAAAGGACTTTTCTACTCAGTCACAGTACATAGAGACTTTATGTATTTTTCTTTTCTCACTCTATTTAGTTATGATTACATCATCTGTCTGATGAAAGCAGTATTTCAGTTTAGACCAGATTGAATAATTAAGTCTTTAGTTGCTTAGAAATGGAAGTATTTTCAAGACATTTCAGGAAGGTGTTATCAGTATTTCTGACATACTTTTCCTCAGGCAGTTTTAGGAGTAAAAAATGAGATTAAGAAGCAAATTATTTTTAGGCTTTTTCAGGTTTTTCTGTGTTCACATTACCCTTTCTGAAGTTATTTATTATTTTTAATCATTTAAAAAATTTTTCAGTTACAGTTGACAAACAATATTATATTAGTTTCAGGTGTACACCCCAGTGATTAGACATTACATAACTTACTAAGTGATCATCCCAATAAACCTCATACCCATCTGACACCATACATAATATTAGAATATTATTGACTATATTCCCTATGCTGTACTTTACATTCCCATGACTATTCCGTAAAAAATAAAAAAAATAAAAAATTTAAATTTCCCTATGGAGAAAAATAAGTTAAAATCAAAGGCTCAGAGAAGTCTGAGTGATTTGGATTAATTTATTTCTTCAAATAGAAAGAAAAGTGTAAGGCTTCAGAATACTTAATTTTCTTATTCTGAAGAGAGGTGACTAGACTATTCCTATATATAGCTTCATAATCCTAAAGGTATTAGAATGTGCTGCCATACTAGTACATCTTCTCATGATAAAATATTAATAACTATAATTTGATACTACATAAATTGTTGTTATAACAACCAATACTAACAACAGAGAACTGAATGACTGAGTTTAGAGATTATATAAGTAAGAGGCCAAAGGGAGGCTCTCTAAATAAACTACATTAAATAATAAAGTCAAGATCACGGGCTTGGTAATATAGGGACTAAGCTTTGTTTTGTTTTGTGGATATAGACCATATTGTGGTGGAGAGAATAATGAACCACTAAAGATCTCCATGTACTAATATGTGGAACCTGTGAATATGTTCCCTTACAAGGCAAAGATGAACTAAGGTAGTGATGGAATTAAAGTTACTAACCAGCTTATTTTAAAATAGGGAGTTTATCCTGAATTATCTGGGTGGGCCCAAAGACTAGGGTCCTTAAATGTGGAAGAATAGAAGGTTGGAGTAAGGTGATATGAAAAGGACTACCTGCCAGTGCTAGCTTTGAAGACAGAGGAAGAGGGCCACAAGCCCAGCAGTGCACGTAGCCTCTAGAAGGTGAAAAAGGCAAGGAAACAGATTCTTGTCTAGGGCATACAGAAGGGAACAGAGCCCTGACAATGAATTGATTTTAGCCCTATGAGACCTCTCTTGGACCTTCTAAGCTACTGAACTGAAAAGTAATAAACCTGTGTTGTTTTAAGTCACTAAAGTTGTGGTAATTAGTTATGGCAGCAAGAGAAAACTTAACATATAATAACCTTTTCACAAACTGTGAAGGGCAATCACACTAAATCTTTTGTGGGAGGCAGGCACAATCACAAAACAAAACAAATAAAACTATTAAAATCTATGACAGATAAAATAATGGTTCAATGACCTTTTTCATTTCAAAGGGGAACATTATGATTACAGAAACACACTATGTTGTATCATAAAATTTATTGCTAAAATAATTAGTCTTGAAAAGGTGCCTGCCATTTAACTAAACAAAATAACAAATAGGATTGCTTAAAATAACAATGAGAAACGTTGTAGACATGGTACGAAATGTGCTCTCTCTACACTATGTTCTAGGTAAGAATGGATAAGAAGTTGGCAACACAAGCATATCTGCTTTGAACAGTGAGCCTTTAATACAACTACGATATCTCAAGGCTGGTAAAAGTAGCAATGACAAGTACAGAAAAATTCTTTTGGCTATAGCTCATCCAAATTTTAAAAGAATGGGATGCTTATTCAAAGACATTTTGTTTGCTTTAAATTCAGTTTAAGACTCTTTAAAATCAGCTTCTGAGGTAAAGATTTTCAGACATATATGTGATACTGAAAAAAAAAAAGACTACAGAAATCACATTGGTTTGAATTTCTACAAATAAGAGAAACATACAAAAAGGAGCAAATAGTAATAAAGAACCAGATTCCAACATGGCCAGATCAACGCTTTCTTGGTTAACAAGAAAAAACAAGTTTACCCACCAGGTTCCTTATGTGTACACTAGTACTAAAATTTCAATTTCCTTTATATTACTGGAAAAAGTATCTACACAGAATTCAAGCATGATGCAAAGATTATACTGCCTCTTTTTGGAAACTGTTCTACACAACTGGATTCTGAAATATTCAGGAATAGCAAAATGCTTGGCTTTGTTTCTTTGGCAAGAGCAAACTGCAAAATGTTAAACCAGATCCTGAAACAGCAACACTTTAAACATAAATTTTGTATTAATGAAGGAAGGTTAACACATTAGAAGGAAGCTGAATGTCAATGATTAAGAAGAAAATCATGCTAAAGAAGAAAGGATAACATGTACCTGCATAAACTTTTTCTACTTAAACTGCAGAAGGGAGAAATCATAAAGGATAGCTCAGAATTAAGAGACACAAGAAATAAAGTGCTTATCTTCTAACAAAGAGAATGAAGCTACTGTGAGCTTTCAGAATTACAACAGTCAAAGATAAGATTACTACTAGAGCAATTGGGTCTGTCACAAGCAGAAGGAAAGGTATTAAGAGAGTTGTGACCCAGATCAGAAGCATAAATGAGCTATTACTGAGCAAACAGACCCCAAGGGCTCAAATTCTATAAAATGTAGGTTATCTGCTATTCTTCTAATTATTATTTACTTAAGACTGTTAAAGAACTCAGTTGTTTATACTGTTTAAAACTATACTAAGTTGTATCTTCCCTTAAATGTTATTCATATTCAAATAATATTTATGCTTTATCTTTCTTTATAGAAAAGGCAAAGGTAACTGGCTAAAGGTATCAATGAAGTTCCTCTCAGTTATCCACCCCAGAGGAACTCTAGGGAGCAGATACACTACGACAAAACAATAGTCTCAGAAAGCTCTAGCCTATGAAAGGGTTAGAGAAATCAGGATATCTTGACTGCTCAGAACCATATTTTGGGGAAAGTATAACTTTGTTTAGGATGTTATCACCTCTTCTTACAGCACCCTTATAACATTCTGAGTATGCTCCACTCTGCCCCCTCCCCTGCACCCATGATCTATGATGCAACATTAAAAACTAATCACATTTTTTCGAAGTCCCCTAATAAATTTATCTCACAACAGGATTCTGGACAGTATGTTTGTTTTTGGCATTCATTACCTTAGTTGCTGTTTTTTCATGCTAAAATGAGGCAGAAAGTTGCTCATAAAAAACAATGTGAAAACAGACAACACATAATTCTCCTTTCTGTGAACAGGTTCAGTATCTCCCACATGATTATGGGGAAGTGTGTGAAAAGCACACTAGCAATCAAAATAAAATCTCTTATGGTCCCAGAAGAGACATTCTAATAAAACAGACTACCTGGGATCTAGTTATACCAAATTTTATAAAAATGAAAAGGGAAAAGAAAACCTAGCCAAAGCAGGGGTGTGGGGTTTTATTTTTAACTTCTCTCCTCATTCAAAGAAAGTGAAAATATAGAGAAGTGAGAGATATTTACCTTGTTCACTGGATTCTCTTACGTAGGGCTTAAGGTGAGACATTTTGATAGGTCTTTTAAGTCTAGTCCCAGTGTTGTCTCTCAGAACAGCACATCCACTTTCTGTAATATAGTCTATGACGCAAGGACCAACCCATTCCGACTGGAATCGACCATCCTTCCACCAGTTTTTCCTTTGTCTTAAAACTTCATGACCTACTTTTAGATGAAATGGATTTAACTGCTTTGGTTTCTTTTTAACAATGATTTTGTTTTTGTGTGTTTCATCAACAGTGTTATTCTCCACCTACAAGTGCAAAGAAAAGAGAAAGAGAACAAAGGGATGAAAGAGCTACAGTTTCTTGAAGGTAAATGCAGATAATAATATAACAGAATGATTATTTATTGAGATGCTCCTTAAAAGGTAGGCATGAATCCCATTTAATTCTTGAAACAATATTTCAAAGTCAGCATTACCCCAACTTCACAAACAAGGTAAACTGAGGTAGGTTAAGTAATTTGCCCAAGTCAACTGGAAAGCAGTAAAACCAGGGATCTGAATTCTGCTCTGATTCCAAAATGCATAGTTTTACCATAACTGTCTCAGAATTTCATAGCTAGTAAGCACAATGTTTAATTAAGGCAAGCAGAATTTGGTAGAAAAAGAATTTGGTTTAAGGGTGTATCATCTGTGTGTGTGTGTCTGTGTGGGTATATACGATATAATTTTTTAAAACATCACTTTATAGATTTTTCTATTATAGAGTTTTCTATTAAATAGAATCACCTGGCCCACTGAAGTTGTCTTAGTCTCCATTATTTTATCAGCTTCTTTAATTGCACCTAGAATTTTGGCAAACATACTTGTATTATCACCATCCACTTCATGGAGAACATCTGAAGTCTCAGGCATATAAGGATTTCGATTAAACATTTGAAAGTATGGTGTGTTTTTAGTAGGCTCCTATTTTAAGGAAAATAAAAAACAATTTGCAATAAAACATTTATCTAGGCAAGAAATAATCATAACTTAAAAGTATAGAACTATAAAAAGGCACATACCAAATGAGTTATATTGAAGGCAAATGAAACAGCTGATAGGTGATCATCCCAGTTGTTTGGGTGGTCAGCACAGTGTTTGGAAAGAAATGTTTTGATGGTATTAGGTATACCTTCAGTTTGGTTAACAGCTTGAGAGGCATGTGAAATTACAATTTGCTTTGTGCCAAACAATCTACACAGTTCAACATTGATCTGAAAAATACATAAAACAAAGCTGACTTTAAAATTTTATTTTTGCCTTGATTAAAAGGCTTCAAAAGAAATTGAATCTTGCCTTTGGCATTGATCATAGTCATTCTATATAAAAACATATATATTTTATTTAAAACAGTAATTATCATTAATTGAGTCCTTACTATGTGCTGATCAATGCACTAGGTTGTTGTCATTATACATTTATGACAATCATATAAGGTATTATCAGCTCCATTTTAAAGATAAGAAGGTGAAGCTTTGGGAAGTTTAATGCCTTGCCAGAGACACACATACATCAAGGAAGGGGAAGAACGGAATTTAACATCAACTCTGAGTTCAAATAACATTTTAATTTAGTAAACAGATTCTCAAAAAACACACCAGGTCACATAATCCAATTAACAGCTACATGACCTTGGCCAAGTCACCAAACCTCTGTGTACTCAGTTTCCTAATCTGTAAAATCAGGAAAATCCTACCCAGAATTCTTTTGAGAATTAAATAAGTAAACGTAAAAACTTAAAACAGTTCTTGGCAAATATTAATCAATTTATAATTCTTAATGTCACTATTATTGTTGTTATAATGTACAGGGCCTAAAAGAAGTCAAAATGAGTTTAGAGCCCTGGCCGGTGTAACTCAAGTGGTTGGTCATGGTCCAGTGCACTGAAAGTTTGCAGGTTTGATTCCTGGTCAGGGCACATGACTGGGTTGTTGGCGCGATATCTGGTAGGGGGCATGCAAGAGGCAGCAGATCGATGTTCTGCTCTCACATCAATGCTTCTCTCTCTCCCTCTCCCTTCCTCTCTCTCTAAAACTCAAGAAAAAAAATCTTTAAAAAAATTAGTTTAGAAAACTTCTAACAGTAAGCCTGTTAAATGTAAAATAACTTCTTTTTCCTACCTTACTCTTCAGACTACTTTTCTTATTTTTTTTAATTGGGTAAACTTTTGGCTGATAAACTTGTTTTTGAAAAAAAATAATATTACATTTCTTGTTGCTTAATTGTAAGAAGGAAAGTAGTATCAGAGTAACTGAAAAGGTAAAACTATTAAATGAAGGGGAAAAACAACTAAAACAAAACCACATTTCCCAAGCTCCCTTGCAAGATGGGTTCAGTCACGTGATCCAGTTATGGTCAAAAAGTTACAGGTGCCATTGTTGGGCTTTTAATTGTTGTTGGGCGGACTCAGTGGTACTAGCTTTGTTTTGCCCAGTCCCCTTACCCTCTTTCTAAAATGTAGACTTTGTGGCATGGGCTCTGGCAGTCACCTCTTAAAGATGGTGGAGCAGTAAGCTAGAAGCATCAGTCCCTAATGACATTCAGAGTTACCCTTCCAACCTCAGACAGCCTGGCCTTCTTTTACCTAAATTTATATACTGGGGGGAAGAGAGGTGTTCTGTGTTACTTGCAGTTAAATACAATTTCTAGCTAATATAGCATGTACTAATAAGCTATCTCCTTTTAATTCAAAAGTAATTAAAAAGAAATTCCAGAGAATAGGTGTGTTTAGGTAGGCCTCAATCTGGGGTCATAATCAATAGTTTTAAATGACTGACCTTTGGAAAAGACTTCGACTTCCTTCTTTCAAGAAAATGCCTAGGAATGATCCAGTGAATCCATTTGTGAGGTGCTATCTTGATATCTTTTCCCCAATGGCCTTTTTTTCTCCCCATCAAACCAGACATTCCACTAGTGGTTACAATTTTGGTTTTCCATAAGACATATTTTTAAAATTTAAGATGTAAATTTTACATTTGAAAGTGTTTATTCTCTTTTCTTCAGAGGTTTACAAAAAATTCTTTGTATATTTTACTGAAATAATTTAGCAAATACTCTAAGCCAAGTTATGTTAGAAACAAATATTTCCATCCAACTATGTAATAAACCTCCCACTTTGTGTATATTGGCCTAATCTTATTACAACACTTTGGCAGTGTTTTCTGTCAGTATTTGCTAACAAAAATAAAACATTTTATTTGGTAACCATTATGCTTTCTGTATAATATGTAAGCCATTTAAATCACAGAAAACAGAACACATTTTCCCAATCATATGTAATTTTTAGTTTTTTTGTACTATTAAACCTCTTAAAAGAGACTTGTAAACATTTATTTCCATCACCCAGTATAGTATAGTATCTGGAATATTCTGTCAATTCTCCAGAGAAAAGAGTAAGACTGGGAGACTGAAGAATGGGGCATGAGTTTTTCACTACCTCAGGCTGAAAGTGGCACACATCTACCCACTCAGTTTCTTTGGCCAGATCTAGTTACTTGGGCTTGGCTACCTTCAAGAGACTATAAGGAGCCGTCTATATTTGACAACTAGAACTAATTATTGCTGAGCACTAGTAATTTGTATCACAAACACAACAGATGATTATGCATATTTTAATTACTAAAAATTATAAAAGCCACATAATACATACAAACTGAAAAATTAAGAAAAAACTGTAATCTCATTACTCTTAAAAAGAACTCCATGGTGAACCTTATGGGTTTTTATTTTAGTTTTTTTATATCTATTTTCTACATAATTATCTATGCCAATATATAAATATGTAAATATATATGTAATAAAATTTGTTAGTCAGGTTCTGTTTTTTGGGGTTTTTTTTTAATCCTCACCCAAGGATATGTTTACTGATTTTAGAGAGAGGAAGGGGAAGGCAGAGAAACATTGATTGGTTGCCTCTCATATGCACTCTGACCACGGACGGAACTCACAACTTAGGTATGTGCCCTGACTGGGAATTGAACACACAACCTTTCAGTGTATGGGATGACTCTCCAACCAACTGGTTTTATTTTATTTTATTTTTTAAAAATATATCTTGATTAATTTGAGAGAGAGGAAAGGAGAGGGAGAGAGAGAGAGAAACATCAATGATGAGAGAGTCGTTGATTGGCTGCAGCCCGAAACCCAGGCATGTGCCCTGACCAGGAATCGAACCCTGATTGCCTGGATCCTAGGTCGACACAACCGCTAAGCCACGCCCGGCCGGGCCTAACTGGTTTTATTTTTAATGTGCTGTGAACACTATTCATGGCATGTCCTTTACTTTCTTTGTAAACATCATTTTTAATGGTTATGTAATATTTTATCATGTGACTAGACATATTTTTCTGAAACACTTCCTTTTTTTGGATATTTAGCTGCTCCTCACCCTTTTGCTAAAATAAAAAGCATTGTGGCATTTAATAAAAGAGCCATTTTCATACTTCAGATTATTGCCTTATAACAAGTTCTTAGAAACAGGATTGCTAACCAAAAGACAAAAATATATCTATGGCTCTTTATATACCTCCAGCAAACTACTTTACAAATGAAATAATTTCAAGCTGCAGTGCTACAGTAGTGTAAGGCTGTATCATTCTACCTGTAGTCTATTTGGTATTATTACTGTTTTTGATGATCAGATAAGCAAAAAACAATCTTAATTTGCATTACTCATTTGAACATTTTTCCATGTTTCTCACTTTTATTACCTCTTGTGAATTGTTTTTGACACTGACTAATTTTTTAATTTGTTTAAATCTTTTATAATAAAAATATTAGCCCTTTCCTGCATGGATTTGCCTTATTTTTGTTGGTCTACTTCTTGCCTTATGATTTGGTTGTTTGACCACAATAAGTTCCTAATTTTTATGTAGCCAAATTTGGTAATGTTTTCTACTGAAATTTATACCACTGTTCCTAAGCTTAGAAAATTACCTCCATCCCTAGAGATAAAAAAAAAGTCAGTTGTATTTTTTGTTTGTTTCTAAAATCATATTATGTAAGCCAAGACAGTCTGGCTATCTCTGATTTTTTTTCTTATACCACTACCCTGTCAATTATATACCTTTTTAAATATGCCTAAAGTGTAGTAGTTGTATTCCTTTTGTCTTCTTTAGAATTGTTACATACAGTCTTGCTTGCTTATTGTTTTAGGTTAACTTTAACCTGGAAAAATGCCAGGGTAGAGGGAAAGCTCCCTCCTTTTTAATGCTGATTAGACATTCACTAATTATATAAATCATTTTAGGAAAAATCTATACATTTTGATACTGAATATTTTCATTCATGCACATGATGTATTTTATCATTTAGTCAATTCTCCCTCATGTCAATGAGAATTTTACACTAGAAGTAAACAAAGATTATTTGGTCCAACTACCTCATTTCAGTCTCAGGAAACCTGAAGATAGATTTACTATTACTAAGTGGCGTAACAAGTACTAAAATCCTGAACTTTTAATTTCTAGTCCAACTACCTCTATAGTAAAGAATATTAAAACAATTTATCTAAACTTATTAAGCATCCTATAATCTACAGGTATGCTGGGTACTGAATGGTGAGAAAAATACGCTCCTACACCTAAGTTGTCTTACCTGATGAATGAACTCATCTCTTTGGTCCATTATTATTTTCTGAGGAGGTCCGTATAAAAAAAATATATTGATAATAGCTTTAGAAATTTCTGATGTTGAAACATCACATAGAGGCAAAATCACAACCCATTTAGTGAACAAATCTGTCATGATTATAGCATATACATGACTTCTCTTGCTTGTATGAAATGGGCCCATTAGATCAACAGTAACTATACTCCATGGATTTTCCACCTTGAGGTGCTGTTTAGGTGCTAAAATAACTGTATTTTTTGCCACTTGACAATGATGACAAGCATATACCTACAAAACAGGCACACAGTAAAGGAAAGACATGTAAATGTAATATATTCAACATAATAAAAGCAGGCTTATAAATCTGAACTTTAATAATTAATAGGTACTTTGTGTTTTGAAGAAAAAATTTTTGGACTCTTCTAGAATAGAATAAAACCTCCTAGTCAACATAATAATAGTATAGCAAATATTAGTTGCTATACTATTCAATGCCCATCTTAAGGAGTCTTACTTACATGGACTAGTTTACATTCAATAAATGTTTATGAAATGAATAGATCTGAAAACAACTTTGCTATAATTTTAAGTCAGTATATAATATATAATTTCTATAAACAAAAGATTTTAAAAATTATCACTCTAATAAATTAATTCATTCATCTACTTCAACAAATATTTATTAACACAATTTTATTCAAACAATATTTATAGATGCCAAAAATTCCTTTAGGTCCTGGCAAAAGAGAATGGACAAAAACCAACCCCACGTTGTCATGGAGCTTTCAGGTGAATGAAATGAGATAATTGATCAACTTATGGATAGTGTCTCTGCTCAACATATTTCTGGAATTCCACTTTGGAAGGAAACTAGTTTCAAACTGACTCCTGAACAAAATTTTAAAATGATTTTATTGCATTATAATTACTTTTTTAGAAAAAAACTTTTTTTTTTTTAGAGAGAGGAAGGGAGAAAGAGAGAGAGAAAAAAACATTGATGTATAGTTACTTTTGACCAAAGTTTTTATTTTCCAACTTATATAAAAATAACCTCTGGTTATTTCCAAAAATCATATCCATTCTCAAATGATAAAAGATTTTATAGAGATTTCATCAAATCATTTGTAAAGGAATTGTGGCAGTTTCTTGATTTTGTCTGAAACCTGTATAGTAACCAGTGTGATAGCCATTCATGTACCCAGAGATTAACATACTTCCCAAAGCCTTTGGAATACCTTCATAGATTAATAAACTGATAACTCATAAATGATATTTTGTTAAATGTTGGCCTAATTCTTTATGCCTAAAATGACAGTCTTTTTAATGCACTATTACAATTATTAAAGGGATCTCACATACATATCAAGGAATTCCTACCATTTGCAAACTGAGTATACTAGAAAGAGTAGAAATCAGTTGATCTACCAGTAAGAATCCTAAAATTTCTGGGTGAATTTTTGATTATAAGAAGCTGAAGGTCCTAGTGGGTTATAAAATTACAAAATTCAGACTAATTTCACTATCTTCACAACTTGATTTTGCATTTAATTGGTTTTGAGTTTCTGCCATATTCGAAATTTTCTATGGCAAGGTGAAATGGGAATAAAAGATGAGAGCACACATGGCCTGACTTTTTATGAACACATGCACCTCAAGAATTCACATCAAGATTGGATGACTGCCATCAGTGAGGGAATGATTTAAAGGAATTTTAACCCCATTTATATTCTACCTATAAAAAAGAGGTCAATGATGAAAATATGGTTCTAAAAAAATCTATCTTAATATAATGTTTAAATAATGCCTTGTTCTAGTTCAAATTATACTTTAGTGATTTTAAAGAAGAATTTCAAAGGAAAGTAAAAGTCCTTAAATGTTTCCATGTAAAAACTACCCACACAAAAAGTACTTAATGAGAACTACTATCCAGAGTAAATCTGGAGCAATTGTAGATATCTATCACAGAGACATTATTGAAAATATTCTAAATAATAGCCATACCCACTGTTTGACATCATTGGTCACAGAAGTCCAATAGTAACTGGATTCCACTAGAGTCAGGGTTCTGGATATGCCATGATGGGCTCCAGTGTCATTTTCATGGCATTCTCTTAGAACTTTCTTTTTTTCTTCTTCTGAAACAATTACCAAACGATTTTGTTTTCTGTCTTTTCCAACATAAAACAACTTTTTTTCTGGAATAAATGATACCAAAAAAGACATAATTACAATTTTTAGAGATCTATATAGTTTTAAGATAATCATAGCCTTATGTTTAAACCATGAGGGTTTTCTAAAAAAATTAAAAACCTTTTCTCTCTAGGACAGAATATTTATTTGTAATACTATTAATATATAATCTGAAAGGTCCTCAGTTGTTACATTTAATAGACGTGTAAAAGGAGCACTAGCTGCTATAACTTTCTATCTAGCAATACAGGTAGAACTATCTTGCTCACCAAAGTATGTGATAACTATGGGAGTATGAAATTATGTTTCTATGGGTTACTCAAACTAGAAAAATACTTGCAGACACCTCCTAAAATGGCGTGAATTAGAAATGAATTATATACAGATAAACCACTTCAGAAACAAAATTTTCAAAGTAATATTTCATCATAACTGCATTTTTGTAAGCAACCACCTCTCTTAAATTTTTCTGGATTTGAGTAGGAGGTGGGGTTGGTAAAGCCAGAAAATGGGAGAACACTAATCTTCAAGACAGTTCTCTGTTTTCCTTTGGAGGATACCTGAGAAGAATCTACAGCTGGGAAGCAACCAGGGCAGGGAGAGAACCACCGCCTCTCCAGTGTGGATGAGGTAATTGTTTGAATTCCACATTACACCATTAAGCTACTAATAGGCTTAGTTAAATACATGCTGAGTAGAACAGTCCTTACTTGAATCAGAAGGTAAGCAACTTGAGGGCAGGAACTTTATCTATCTTATTCGTCAATATATTCCCAAGGCCCAGGTGTGACCTGCACACATTAGGAACCTGGTAAACATTTTTACATAAATGATTAAATAAATTAATCAATGAATCCTCTTTAGTCTAAGAGGTATACCTGTTCTTAAGCTTAAGGGAGTTATTGGAAATGGGGTATGTACACAGGGAGAAATGAACAGGTATTTATTATGTTAGAATTTTCTTGACTTGCTTTGAGGAAAGCCTGATTCTGGACCTCCACTCTGGGCAAAGCTCTCATTAATAGCACCAACATTCATTTAGTTACCTGGTGACTGTACCTCTTACTTATTTCATTCCTAACGTCTCTTTCCTTTCCCTCTGGAAGAGGAGAAAGAGGTAAAATTTATCATAAACTTTCAAGATACACATTCTACTGCCTTTCTAATATTTAATCCAGTCAGAGGGATTTGAGGGTCCAAAAATAAATGTAATCCTGAAATTATTTAATGGAAGTGGGAGGGGGGAACCACATAAATAAATATAGTAAACAAACAGCTTAGTCAACATTTTCAAAGCATCAAGTAAGTTTTTCATTGATAGTGACATGATGCTTCAAAAAGCACCATTAGAGTAGGGACCACCTGAGGGAAAAAGCAGGCAAAGTTAACTTAGGTAAGTGTTGTTGTTTTTTTCCCCCCATAGTATCATTTTCTGTCTATAATTTTAAATGCCCTTTTCATGCTTATTGGCCTTCAGTTAACTTCCGTGTGATTTTTAATTTGCTTTTGACTGAGTGGCATTATCAATTCAACTGGTAATTGTTTAGCAACAACCAATTACTACAGAAATTCTCAGGATTCCACAAAGAACACATATGAAGAAGCATCTATATTAACTTTATATATTTGGGGCCTTAATTTTACCTTTGAAGACAAATTTTTTTGCCGCTCTTCTTATTCCACTCCTCTCACTCGGTAGTGTAGTTGGATGATATTCTCCAGTTCGTTTATAGTATGCAATCTGTTTAAGATGAAGGTCACCATTTTTCCCACTACGGACCATTGTGAACCTAGGTAAAAGATATTTAAAGACATGCTTTAAATGATAAATTCATTCAGCTGCTATTTCAGTTCAGGCCTTCTGCCAGGCCTTCAGTTCAATTCATACTTCTGCTTACATATGAATTGAACATTCCCAAAATATTATCTGTGAGAGAGATAACTGCAGTACAGAAAAGGAACAGTATGATGTATATGAACCAAAATATTCAAATGCTATTTTTGAGATACATCATGACAAATTATCTTGCCTCTTTCCACGTGGTAAGAAATGCTGACAATTTTCCACATACTGGGGAAAAAAGGAAATGAACAAGTACACTTCAGAAAGTTTTGCTTAAAGTCTCTCTTCACAGTACCATTAATTAAAGTGTTACTTATATAGGATAGTCCTGTTATGAGACATTTAAATAAATGATAGATTATAAGGTCAGAAATTCAGTTTTATATTACTTCTAAATATACTTATGGTCATTGCAAAATGCAAAAAAAAGTTCAAATCATTTATGAGAAAGGTATATTTTGGAAATGTTCAAGTAAGAACATGAGAAAGCATTCTGAAGATGGATGGTGGTGATGGTTGCACAACAACATAAATGTACTTAATGTCAGTCTAAGAGCTCTAATGAAGATGTACAATGAGATTGATGTTGTTTTCATGCCTGCTAACACAACATCCATTCTGCAGCCCGTGGATGAAGGAGTAATTTGACTTTCAAGTCCTATTACAGTCATGTGCCATTAATAATGGGGATAGTTCTGAGAAATATATCTTCAAGCAATTTCATCATTGTGCTAACATCATAGAGTATACTTCACAAACTTAGATGGTATAGCCTACTGTATACCTAGGCTATATGGTATCGCCTATTGCTCCTAGGCTACAAGCCTATATAGCATGTTACTGTACAAAACAACATGAGATTAAATCAAGAGAAAATGATGCAATCAAGAAACACAGTAAACACAAGATGTATGAGGCTGCTGGTGTAACACTGCATACTATTTAACAGCAAACTTTTTATGTAAGTATAAAGAGTACACTCTAAAATAACAAAAGGTATAGTATAGTAAATATATACACCAGTAACACGTAATGCATTGCATTAGGATGTAAGGATGGCTATGAAGTCATTTGGTGATAGGAATTTTTCAGTTCCATTATAATCCTATGGGACCACCGTCATATATGTGATCCGTCATTGATCAAAAAGTGATTCTGTGGTGCATGATTGCATTTGAGAAATATATTTCATAAGGCTATATAGCTTCCATAGTGATTCCTCTGATGGATCTGGGCAAAATAAATTGAAAACCTTCTGGAAAGGATTCACCATTCTAAATTCCCTTAAGAACATTCATGATTCATGGGAAGAGGTAAAAATATCAACATTAGCAGGAGTTTAGAAGAAGCTGATTCCAACCCTCAAGGATGACATTGAGGGATTCAAGATTTCAGTGGAGGAAGTAACCACACATATGGTGCAAACAGCAAAAGAATGAGCATTAGTAGGAGCGCCTAAAGATGTGACTGAACTGCTACGATGTCATGATGAAACTTTAACAGATAAGGAGCTGCTTTTTATGAATGAGCAAAGAAAGTGGTTTCTTGAGATGGAATCTACTCCAGGTGAAGATGCTGTGAAGATTGTTGAAATGACAACAAAGAATTTAGACTATTATGCAAACTAGTGGATAAAGCAGTGGCAGGATTTGTGAGAACTGACTCCAATTCTGAAAGTTCTACTGTGGGTAAAATGCTATCAAACAGAATTGTTTGCTACAGAGAAATCACTCATGAAAGGAAGTATTATTCAATGCAGAAAACTTCATTTTTGTCTTTTTTAAGAATCTGCCACAGCCACCTACACCCAACCTTCAGCAACTACCACCCTAATTAGTCAGCAGCCATCAGCATAGAGAAAGACCCTCCACCAGCGAAGAGATTCTGACTCACTGAAGGTTCAAGTGACGGTTAGCATTTTTTGGCAATGAAGTATTTTTAATTAAGGTAAGTACATTTTTTAGATATAATGTTATTGTGTAATTTATAACAGACTACAGTATAATGTAAACATAACTTTTATATGTACTGGGAAAACAAAAACTTTGTGTAACTTACTATTGTGATATTCGCTTTATTGTGATGGTCTGGAACTGAACCTGCAATATCCACGAGGTATATCTGTAGTAATTATGACTGTGTGGTACTGGCAAAATGATACCCATTGGCCTATTGAACAGAATAGAGAGTCTAGAAACAGAGCCACACAGAAATGATAAATTGATTTTTGAAAAAAAGTGGCAAGGTAATTTAATAGAGAATGAATAATACTCACAAGAAATTATGCTGGACCAACTAAACTTCAGACAGTTGGGGAAAAACATTTGCAGTACATATATATAATAAAGAACATGTGTCCAGAATTTATAAAGAATTCTCTAAGTTCAATAATAAGAAAAAAATACCCAATTTAAAAAATGGGCAAAGGATTTGAACATACACTCATCCAAGAAGATATGGGTGGCAAATAAACACATGAAAAGCTACTCAACACCATTAGACAATGAAAAATGCAAATTAAAACCACAATAAGATACCATTAAATATCCATCAAAATGGCAAAAAACAAAAACAAAACAAAACAAACCTAACAATATTAAGTACAACCAAGGATGCAGAGAATTGCTGGTAAAAACACAAAATGTTTACATGCTGGAAAACAGTATTAACTCAAGAGAAATAAAAGTATATGTCCACACAGAAATCCGTATGTGAATGTTTCTAGACGCTTTAGTCATAACAGCCAAAACCTGAGAGCAATCCAAATGCTGAACCGGTGAGTGAATAAACAAACTGTGGTATATCCACGCAGTGGGCTACTGCTCAGAATGGATGAGGAACTATGAAAATACCCAATAATATACGGACGAGTCTCAAAATCATGAGGCTAAGTGAAAGAAGCCAGACACAAAAGGCTGTGCACTATCTGCTACTACTTATACGACATCTGGAAGGCCAAAACTACAGGATGAGGAAACAAGTTTTTCAAAATTAAAAAGAAAATTTTAAATAACTACATAAGCAATTATAAAAAATAACTGCAAACATTTATACAGTATTTTACTGTGATGATCCTCACAACATTCTATGAAGTAGGTACTGGTTTTATATCCATCTTATACATAAGAAAATGGACATTCAGAGAGATTATCCAGTTGACTCAAGGCGGCACAGCTAGCAAGTGCATGCACTGACATTTGAACCTTGGTCTCTGTTGCTACAAATTTCATGTTGGTTTTTCCCCCTGTGTACACTAGAAAGTAATTATTTGTCAACCTCCGCTTTCATAATACTTGGTTCAGGTACCTGCTAGAAAAGTTATAGAGTGATTTTGTAATATAATTTAAATTATAAATAAGGAATAGGTCTTATTAATTCTTAACCTTTACATTGTTTCACACAGTGTTTGGGACGCAATGGACATTCAACTGTCAATAAATAATTACTTGCATTTGCTAAAAGAAGAGGTAGCACTGAATTAAAAGAGGGCACAGGTTTCAAAGTTCACTTTGGGAAAACATTACTTGCATACATAAGGTACTACAAATCCAGTGCGTCTATGAAGGTAAGGCTTTTAGGAGTCTAGTGTGAGAGTTACTTAAGCCTCCGTATCCACATCTGGAAAAAGGACATAATACTTATCCCTCCTTTTTCATAATTATGTGGATCAATGAGATAATGGATTTGAAAAGTCCTTTACAAATGGTAAATCAATATATAATTATTGTTCAAATATTTAAGTATTTTCATCCATAGCAAGCTGTTCGAAGTAACAGAGAAACTTTTTCTCAAAATCTTTACAAGGAATGAAGTTTTAAAACCTTGTTTCTTTCATTAATGGTTGATTAATGCTTTCTGGCAATGTTTATAATGTTGTATAAATAACGAAACCTACAAGACTCAACAGTTGCATACTTTATAATGAGATTATAGTCTCCTGGGGTTCACAAGCTTCTAGTTCTGGCAGCAGGGACAGATGACATAGAGAAATAGAAAATGCAAAAGAAAGAAAAATCACTTCACAGAAGTAGTGTTTTAAGTAAAGCTTTAAGAGTTTGTTACTAATATCTGGTAGTTACATACAAGAATAAAAGAACCAGTAGATCTTTTTCTTTTCAAAGTATATTCACCATTTGATCCGGAGAAACCATCCATTTGCGAAGTTAATTAAAAAATGGATGTGCTCAAGTTTCAGGAATTTCTGTTAAAATAATTGCTTGTGTATTAAAACAAGTAGGAATAAGAAAAGGTATTGAAGGTGCCTCCTTACTACTTCTAGTTTTGCAAGAGGAAATGCCACGGTCATATTTGGTTGAACTTTTTACACTATATCCCTTGTACAACATCAAATAAAATCAATGAATACCTCTGTAAATATTTATTAGTTAATTCCTTTAATAATTGTATCATGTGTGTACAATAAAGGCAGTGAAGCATCACTTTAAGTAAAATCAGGATTTAACTGTTTGACCAAGGGCAAAACCCATCAAGGCACCAATTTAAGCCTCTAAATGTTATACGCATGTGTTCCAACTTGAAAGCTTAAAATCAGTAATATTTCAATGAATATGTTAACTTGTGATCAGACTTTTACAACTATTCTACTTTAATTTCTGAAAAATGTAAGAGCACAGTTTTATGTAACGTCCAAGTCTGGGGAACCTACATACACCAGGCACTTCTCTATCATCTGCTTCACTTCAACGGACCAATTCGCTTAACAAAAATGTCTTCACCTCCAAATGCACAGAAACGAAGCCATACGTGGTAAGTGAATGTCCATTTTGAAAATTATTTCTCTAGTTTAGCTCAGAAACGCCCATTGAAGTTAAACTCGGGGATAAAATGGGTACTTTTCCTTTAAAACAGCAAGACAAGATTCTCCCTTTCGCTAGCGTTTCTCCCCGCACAGATTTTCATTTGGGGCAAAAGGGTATTATTTCAGATTAAATGGCAACTATGATAAAGTAAAGGGGGAAATTAATGCCAACTAAGTGCCGCCCTCAACTTTTGCATTTGCTCGGAGTCTCGGGCGCTACTTTAAGCGTGAAGGAACATTTCCAGAGCGTTTACGCGGCTCGTTAGCTCAATCTCAAAGGCAAGGTCCGGCTAAATTTAGCACAAACAGAAAAACGACCATCAAGTAAAACGGTTACACGGAGCAGGCACCTCCCCAGGCCCGAAAACGGAAACCGCCGGGCTCGGCGCTGCAGGCGGGGGACATCGCGACGCCCAAGCGAGGCCCTCCCGTCCCAAGGGCGCCTGCGCAACATCCCATTCTACCCTCCTGAGGCCAGGCGACGCGAATGGTTTTGAAATTAATGTCAGGTCACGCCTCACTTTAAAACGCATTAGGTATGACAAAGCACACCAAGAACGACCACTCACCGAAGTGGTCCTAAATGCAAGCGACAGGATTTAAGCTTCCTCTCGCGACTTATCTGGTGCTGCCGGAAGCGGAACTACCCATGTCGTTAAGAGCCGTGAGCTTGGGGGGGCAGTGCAGCTCCGGTCCGGCAAGGTTAGGGCGGAACCTTGGGCTCTTGCGGGAACTTTGTTCTGCCCGGTGAGTTGTTTGAGAGACCCGAAGCGGGCGAGGGGGAGGCGTGGCGGAGATTCGCTGGTGTGGTAGTTCCTTGCGCTGCCTCCATGTGGCTCTTGTGTTACTGAAGAAAGAGAACCCGCGTCCGCGCTAACAGCCGGAGTCTCTTGACCGACGCCTCACCCCTGCCCTCGGGATTAAAGAGGAAACCGAGACCTGTATGGCATGGGCCATCTTCAGCCGCTCGCGTGACAACTGCAGCCGTGGCAGGTGAGGGGCCCGAGACCGAAGAAAAACCGAGACACGGAACCCGGTCCCTCAGTGCGTGCAGCCAGGCGCTGCTCAGCGGTTGCTTTGTCTCCGGCAGAGCTCTGCGGAGCCTTAAGCACACGCTCCTTCGAGGGGCGGGTGCCAGAGCGAAAGGCGGCGTGGAGAAGGAGCAGAACAGCCCTGCGGGTTGTTTCGGGTTTTGATTTCTCCTCCGTTGCTTCCCTTTTTCATTTCTGGGGTTTGAGACACCAGAGGTGTCAGCTCAGCAGGGAACAGCCGCGCTTCTGTACGCCAGGCTGCGGTCTCGCTCCACCAAAGTAGGCAACCTCGAGTTTGGGGGCTGCTGTGGGTAGACATGGCTATTTTTATTTTCCTTTTTCAGTCTTTTCCCCTCTGCCCCTCGCCGCCTCCACCCGCACTTCAAAAGAACGAAAAGCCGCGCGCGTTGCAGCTTTCCAGAGAGAGGACGGAGGCTGCGGGTCGCTGCCGCGCCTCATCGTTGGAGGGGGCTGCGTGCTTTCGCGCCTCCGGGGAGCAGGGGCGAGGGTGTGGATCTCGATTTTTAGGCTCTCAAGGACTTCCTGGTAGTTAGCGACCTTTGGAGCCCTGCCGGTAATATTTGTCTTGCTTGGCGTGCTGGAAGGCTTGACTGGAAGTAAGAAGCATGGCTGACTTGAGCGCCTACCATTATTGCTCTACACTGGGATAGGCGTTTGTTTTACTGTTGAAAATTCTGCAATGAAAAATAAAGGTTTTGTTTCGGGCAGATAAAATAATAAGGATAGCTTGACATTAACCGAGTTCTTCTGTGTGCCAAGTGCTCTACATATTTTCTGATAGGCCCTTCAACAGTTCCATTAGGCATGTTAGATTATTATTCTCATTTTACAGAAGTGGAAACTGAGGCTTAGAGAGGTCACATAACTCGCCCTAATAAACAACTGCTACTATTAAACATTTGAGCCTGTATTAGAAACCAGATTTTTCAGACTTCATAATCTGTATTTTTAACTATTATACTACTGTTGCCCTGCCGGTATGCTTCATTGCTTCGTTTCCTTACTAACATTTGCAGTGGCTGAACGTATTCATTGATTTTTTTTTTTTTTTTTGGTATGCCTATTTATGTGTCTAACAAAAGACAGACATGATCTCTGTCTTATGGAGCTTCAGAACTGTGAGGTAGAATTAAGTAGTTCAGAAACCAAAGTACTATACTTACTGTAGCATGGGCTTGTTTAAAGCAAGTGATTAAACCAGCGATTTTCAACCAAAGGGACACTGGGCTGCTATAAGAATTTTTAAAACATGCAATACCTGGCTCTTTAGTCAGGGGCACTGACCTCTTTTCCCTTAGATTGTCAAATAAATAAAATGACAACAGCCAACACACTAATAGCCGTCCCAGGTGAATGAATCAAAATCATACCTATTTTTTTTGTCAGATCGGTAAGAAATATGATACATTTTTTGGTGTGCCACAAATTTTTAGTAATTAGTTTATGTGTGCCGTGAGATGAAAAAGGTTGAAAGTCTCTGAATTAAACTGATGTGCAGAAGGTGCAGAGTTGCACCTGAGGTGCAATCAAAACTTACTGTTTAAGTTTTAAACTACTACTTGCACAGAAGTTTTGAGAGTATTAAACTGAACAATTGGTAGAACATTTGTTGATCACGCAAATGAGTGCTCTGCACCAATTAAGTACTGGGAATATAGATGAAGTCCTTCTTCTCCAAAAGCTCCCATGCAGCTACCTATAAATAGTATTATGGAACAATTCATTTTCTTAAGTGGAAATGATATTGTGGTCATGCAGGAGCATGTCCTTATTTTTAGGAAATACTAAAGTATTTAGAGATGGGGTGCATTGATATGTACAACTTTCAAATGGTACAGCAAATATATGTGTATATAAATAGAAAGTAAATATGGCAAAATGTTAGCAGTTGTTGAGTCTAGTTATGGGTGTATGAGTGTTTATAGTGAACTGTTCTTTCAACTTTTCTCAGAATTTGAAATTTTTCATAATAAAAAGTTAGGGAGTAAAAACCCCAACTCTAATGGAAACAGATAATTGTAAAGAAAAATTCAGAATGTTGTGGAGCACAGAGGATGGGAAAAGATGCTGATATGTATTTGAGGCCTTGCAGAGGCTTGATAGCTGTCAGAAAAGCATTTACTGAGGACTCTCCAGTTGGTTTTGAAAGAGAAATAGGAACTTTTAAGGAGAGTAGTGAATTCCAGGCAGAAGGAAAGGCAGGCTCAGCAAAAAGGTGTTGCACAAACATTTGAAGAAGGAAAAAAATCAATGTGAAGGTTGTGTGGCACTTGACATGTTACTTGTATAAGTAATGTTATAAATGATGTTAGTCTGCCTTTGCCGGCCTGCTGAAGCCTATTTAATAACCTATTATGTATCTGTAGGAATGGTGAACGAGTCACCATTTGTAGCAGTGTTTCCACTGGAAAATGCTTTTAGGATTTCAGGAAAATTGGTTACAGATGTGTCTGTGTTCAAGCTGAGCATCGGGAGCTGGAGGTCCTATTTTCTCTGATTTTGAGAACAGAGATTTACTAGTTCATAGTTAAGCTTCTGAGGGAACCTATAGAAAGGGATACAATGATAGCTTGGAAAGATTTTTAAGTTCAGGTAAGGGAGGGTCTGAATACTACATGGGAGTGATGGATGATCCAAGGTGTCATTTTAAGGATTAGGTAGCTGTGACTATGACCAGTAAAGATGTGGAGATGATAGCTTTATTGTAGGCAGCAGTGTTCATGATATTCCCAAGCACTGTGGTAAGACTGGAAAAGATGTAATGAGGTCTTCCGGCAGCAGCAGGTGGCAAAAAGGAGTTTCTGTGGCTTCATTATATGCAAGGTAAGGAGGTACGTTCTAAATTAATTTGTATATATTTGTCCTGTGCCAGTTAAGTTTAGGTCAGAATCTCTGTCTTAATTATAACAGCTGACAAGATATATAAACAGCTAACATTTACTTAAAGCTTACCATGTGCTAATTGCCATGGTTTCTGCATTGTCACTTAATCTTCAAAACAATCTCAGATTTATCACCCCATTTTACTGGAATTAGATATTTGGAAATAGGACTTTCGGAGTTATACTTTGTAGTTCTATCTAGCAGAGTATTCAACTCTTAAGAATATTTGATCAGCCCGGCCAGCCGTGGCTCAGCGCTTGAGTCTTGACCTAGGATCCAGGTGATCAGGGTTTGATTCCCGGTCAGGGCACATGCCCAGATTGCGGGCTCGATCCCCAGTCAGGGGCATGCAGGAGGCAGCCGATCAATGACTCTCTCATCATTGATGTTTCTCTCTCTTTCTCTCTCTCTCTCGCTCTCTCTCTTTCTCTTCTTTCCTCTCTCTGAAATCAATAAAGATATATTTAAAAAAAAACAAAATTGATCAAGTAATTTCTTATATTACCAGTAATCAAATGAAACATTTGATCTCTAGTTTCATCTTGATAGGTAATTAGTTTTAATATGACCAAGGAACAAGTACATGTAAACAACCTTGAGGTTATATCAGGGTTATATGTAGTTCTTAAACTTATGTTCGTGGGCATCTGTTTATGTAGAGGAGTTTGGATGGCAGTCAGTCACATCCAGTTGCATATAGGAGTTAGTGCACATGTACATTCTTTTTCTGAGGAGAGAATCCATAGATTTTTTTCAGATTTGCGAGTTTTTTACTTCCAAAAGTTTAAGGGCTGCCGTTACAGTCAAATACTGTTTTCACTCTAATCTTGTTTTATTGATTTATATATGAGACCAGAATGAAAAATAGTTATATTCTCTAAAAAAAAAAAAAAACCTGTTTGCAAACTGAACTTTTACAACTTGAAGCCTTTTAAAAATTGATTTGGCTTCCACAGTGTGGCCGGCGACATTAGCTAGCAGTGGCTCTGCTTTCTCTAAAAGGGAAACAGTAAACTACAAGAGACTGAACTGTATCTGCCTCTATTTTGAACAGACTCGCTTTCAACTTTCACTCACACACATACACAAAAATAAAGCTGGGAAAATTTTTATTAATCCTTTTTTTTTTTTAAAAAAAGTTAGTATTGTAGCAAAAAAAAAGAACCTGAATTTTAGTAATAACAGTTGGAACAATCCTTAGCAGCAGCTGGAGAAGAGATTTAATTTAGTTGATTTTCTGTGGTGGTTGGTTGTTCACTAGTCTCACTGAAGGATGCTGGACGTTTTTTTCAGAGGGACCGAGAAGCTACTGGAGGTTTGGTTCTCCAGGCAGCAACCCGACACAAATCAAGGATCTGGGGATCTTCACACCATTCCAAGATCCAAGTACGACATACTTTTGAAGGATGTGCAATGTTCAATTATAAGTGTGACAAAACTGGCAAGCAGGGAGCGTATGTACTCAGTGAGAGTAGCATGTTTGTCTCCAAGAGACATTTTGAAGACATATGGTATCACCCTCTTCCTGAAAGCACTAATTTCCCTGTTAAAACTTGCTAGGGATTACAATGGGGTGGGTTTAACTTAGTTTTTTTATTTTTATTTTTTGGGTTTTGTTTTTTTTTTTATTGATTTCAAAGAGAGGGGGGGAGAGGGGGAGAGAGACAGAAACATCAATGATAAGAGAGAATCATCGATTGGCTGCCTCCTGCAGGGGATCGAGCAGAAGCCCGGCTTATGCCCGACAGGGAATCGAACCTTGACCTTCAGGTTCATTGGTTGGTGCTCAACCCCTGAACCACGCAGGCTGGGCAGTT